AGAGTCCTGAAGGCTGGGTTGCCTGCCTGGTGCCTAGGATATCGCATCTGGGCTGCAGAGGAACTTGGAGTGGGAGGGGAACGATCCAGTTGACATGGTCCATGATGGTAGCGACAGTTTTGATAGAAAGCGGAAAAAGCTTCTGCTGAGGGAATATGAGCAGCTAGGGGCTAAATTAGAAAGCAGAACCAAAATCTTTGGATTACCACCTCAACCACAAGCTAACTGGGCACAGGATCAACAAGATTAGAAAGGTCAACTCACAGCTCGAAGATTGGTGGCAGAGAAACAGGTTTGAATTCATGGGCCATTGACACCAGTGCTGGGAAAGGAGGGACTGCTCTGATGGGACTAGCTCCAGTTGAATCACACTGAAGGGTCTGTTTCTGTGCTGTATGACTATGCATCTACGATGCTAATGTCCTAAATTCCAAATTAAAGGAGATGTGCACTGAGCGGAACAAGGAAATGGCGGAGTAGTTAAACAGATGTTTTGCATCAGTCTTTACAGTGAAAGATACTTCAAACATTCATAGAGCTGTACAGCATGGAAACAGACCCTTCAGTCCACTTGTCCATACCAACCAGATATCCTAAATCAATCTAGTCCCATTTGCCAGCATTTGGCCCATATCCCTCTAAACCCTTCCTATTCATATACCCATCCAGATACCTTTTGAATGTTGTAATTGTACCAACCTCCACCACCTCTTCTGGCAGCTTGTGGCATACACGCACCACCCTCTGTGTGAAAAATTTACCCCTTAGGTCCCTTTTAAATCTTTCCCTTCTCACCTTAAACCTATGCCCTCTAGTTTTGGACTCCCCTACCCTGGGTAAAAGACCTTGGATATTCACCCTATCTACGCCCCTCATGATTTTATAAATCTCTATAAGGTCACCCCTCAGCTTTCTCCACTCCAGGGAAAAAAGCCCCAGGCTATCCAACCTCTTCTTATAACTCAAATGTCCCAGTCTTCGTAACATTCTTGTAAATCTTTCCTGATCCCTTTCGAGTTTAACAACATCTTTCCTAAAGCAGGGAGACCAGAACTGACTGCAATACTCTAAAAGTGGCCTAACCAATGTCGTGTACAGAGCAACATGACCTTCCAACTCCTATACTCAATGCACTGACCAATAGAGGCCCTCAATTCCAAAGATTATGGGGAAGCAAGTACCAATGCCATCATTTCTTTTCTTTATTCATTGACGGGATGAGGGCGTTGCTGGCGAGGCAGCATTTATTGCCCAGAGGGCAGTTCAGAGTCATCCACATTGCAGTGGGTCTAGAGTTACATGTAGGCCCAGACCAGGTAAGGACATTAGTGAACCAGATGGGTTTTTGCAACAATCGATAATGGTTTCATGGTCATCATTAGACTTTTAATTCCAGATATTTATTGAATTCAAATTCCACCATCTGCCATGGCGGGATTTGAACCTGGGTCCCCAGAACATTATCTGGATCTCTGGATTAACAGTCCAGCAATAATACCACTAGGCTATCACCTCCTTATCATTAAAGAAGTAATTGTAAGTAGACAATACTTGTTAAAGGCAGATAAGTCCCCTGGCCCGGGTGACTTGCATCCTACGATCCCAAAAGATGGAGCTACAGAGATAATGGATGCATTAGTTGTAATTTTCCAAAATACCTTAGATTTTGGACAAGGACCAGACAATTGGGAAAACTGCTAATGTGACACCCCTATTCAATAAGGGAGGCAAAAAGTGGGTAACTATAGTCTGATAAACCCAACATGTATTGTTGGAAAATGTT